GTCTAGAAGTAAACCCATACATTTGTTGTCAATGGATTTTCAACAAGGGTGCCAAGATAATCTGATGAGGAAAAAACTGTCTTTTTACAAATGATGCTAGGGACACTGGATACTCCTATAAAAAGGATGAAATTGGACCTTTACATCACACTATACATAGGGATTAACTCAAAATGGATCAAAAGACTAATTGTAAGAGTTAAAACTATAAAACTCTCAGAAGAAAACATAGGGACAGATCTTCATGACCTTAGATTGGCAGACGATTCTTAGATATGACACCAAAAGCATGAGCAACAAACAAAAACATAAATCAATTGGGCTTCATCAAATACAAAAAGTTTCGTGCTTCAAAGGATTTTATCAAAAAAGTAAAAAGAAAACCAACAAAATGGAAGAAAATATTTACAAAGTATATATCTGATAAAGAACTTATATCCAGGATATATGATTAATCCTTATAATTCAATAACAAAAAGACAAATAACCCTATTTAAAAATGGACAAAGTATCTGAATGGACATTTCTTCAAGGAAGAATGGCCAATAAGCACATAGAAAGATATTTGATGTATTGATCATCAGGGAAATGCAAATTAAGAGTACATACAATGAGAGACCCCTCTGAACCCACAAAAGTCAGATAACAAGTGGTGACAAGGATGTGAAGATATTGGAGCTGTGGGGGAGGAAAAATTTTTCTCTTCCCTTGTAGATTCTTTTGGCTGGCCTATTAATTAAATTGACACAAGACCAATTAACAGAGGAGAAAAACAAATTTAAATTTGTAAGTATGGGAGCCTCACATAGACATGAGGGGTTCAAAGACAATGAGGCAATTAAGGTTTATAGGCCATCCTGAGCTAAGGAGAAGGGTAAAGAGGTCTGGGGCTTCAAAGGCAAGGAAGACAATTCACAGGAAGATGGGAAGGGCAAATGTTTGGCAAGCAAATATTTGCCGTGCCCTGCAGAGACAATGGGACACAGAAAGGACTTTAACAAACAGGCCCTATGGAGCTCCTCCAGCTTAAGGTACTCTTTTTTTTTTTTTTTTTAATGTTTATTTATTTTTTAGAAGGAGAGAGAGACAGAGCATGAGTGGGGGAGGAGCAGAGAGAAGGAGACACAGAATCCGAAGCAGGCTCTAGGCTGCGAGCTATCAGTACAGAGCCTGAGGTGGGGCTCGAACCCACAAACCATGAGATCATGACCTGAGCTGAAGTCAGATGCTTAATAAACCAAGGCACCCCTAGCATATACTCTTTGCAGTTACCTGCGGTGATAGCTCTCTTCCTGAACAAAGCCCTCTATCTAAATTCTCTTAGGCAATTAAAAGGGAGGTTAAAAGCTCTTCCTGAGCCCTTTGGGCCTTGATTGTCTTCTGCTCAAAATAATCCACGTGCCAAAGTGGCACATTCTTGGGCGACTTGTTCCAAACCCCTTAAGAACGTTTGCATATTGCCAGTGAGAATGTGAAGCGGTGCAACCTTTTTGGAAAGCGGCCAGGCAGTTTTTTCAACTATTCAATGTAGAGTTAGCGTATGACCCAGCCATCCCACTCCTTAGGTATATATCTAAGAGAAATAAAGCATATGTCCACAAAAAAACTTTTACACAGTGTTTATGGTAGTGTTACTCATCACAGCCAAGAGGTAGAAACAACCCAACATTTGAATGGATACATGGAGAACAGTTAAACAACATGTGGTATATCCATACAATGAAATATTCTTTTGCCTGATTAAAGTACCCATACGTGCTGTAATTTAGGTGCATCTTGATTAAAGTATGCTAAGTGGAAGAACACAGAGACACAAAAAAGACCACATATTACATGATTCCATTCTTAAGAAATGACTAGAACAGGAAGATCTGTAGGCACAGGCAGTAGATTAGGTATTGCTGAGAACAGAGCATAAGGATAAGAGAATACATGAGCTGGAAAGGGGCAGAGAGAGAGGGAGACACAGAATCCGAAGCAGGCTCCAGGCTCCAAGCTGTCAGCACAGAGCCTGACACGGGGCTCGAACACACGAACTGTGAGATCGTGACCTGGGCCAAAGTCAGACTCTTAACCAACTGAGCCACCCAGGCACCCCTACACTAACAATTTGTGCCTAACAGTATCTCATTTCTAGGTTCCCATTTCTCAGGTGAGGAAACGGAGGCTTAATATGTTTAAGTCTGAAAGTCACACTGTGAGGAAGTAGAAGAGAGGCCAGTAGAACAGGAAAACTGACTCCCGGTTCACTGTTGGAATTGATATTTATTGGATTTGATTATGAAGTGAAGTTAACTGCTTTTGCCTGTATTATACCATTTAACTCTTGAAAAACCTGCTTTCCTCATTTTAGTAATAGGGAAACTGATATCCACAGAAAGTATGTAAACTGGCAAAATTTCAAAGCCGTTCTTTTTACTGAAATTGCCATGCTTATTCCAGCTCATCAGAGCAAAAAGTCACCTGCCTCCATGACAGTCAGCAGAAAGTGGCTGAGACCCAAATATACCAACCCTCTGAGCATAATGTTCACATTAAATGACAACTTTTAATTACCTGCAAAAGAAAGAATAGATCCAAGCCTAGAAAAAAAAAATATACCTTATACAGTTAAAACGATGTCATCAGTGACATCATTTTATTGATTTACTCAATTTACTTATTTATGAGTTTTGGTCTCAGCTTGATAGGCCACATCAATGCAAAGGCCACGCTCCTAAAAGCCACAGTTTTCAAATGACTAATGTGATTCTAGAGTCACGTGTGTTAAGCCTGCTTTCTATCACCACTTATTTATTTAGCTGAATTACAGATCACTTCACAAGTCCACTAAGGGTGAAATAATCCCTTATTGGGAATAAGGGAATTGTACAAAATCAGTACTTCTAAAGAGAATAAAATGCTTTCTAAGAAGATTTGTCTTCCGAGAGTTTTGAAATTCAGGCCTACCGAGCCAACACGCATCTGCCAGCAGGACCCACCAGGTCAGCATCCTTGCAGCTTTCTAGAGTTTTCCTAAGAAGGGCCCAAAGAACGATAAGCAGGGCCTAAGGCTTGGAAAATAAGCGGGTGATGGGCAACAGGAAACTACTTCTGGGATAGGAGGAAGGATATCCAGCAGGGGCTTCTTCATCAGATTATACTCCCTCCTCCCTCCCCAGCCTGAGAAATGAACAAAGAGGCTGACAGAGCTGAATCCTCTAGGGGGAGGACAGAAAATCTGCATGGAACAGCAGAGAAGCTGCAAACTCTACTTGGTTTTGTTTAAAGTAGGTCTTAGGCAAGAATTCTTATTGCCCCAGGGTTATGTTCAAGGTATAAAAGCATTGGTTTCTGTGTAAAGATAAAATATCCTCTGTTTCTATAGAAGAGTGTAAGAACTATATTTAAGGGCCACCAGTCAGGAAAATCTTTTTGTGACACCATGGGTGGCCTGCAAAAGTGGATTTCGTGGAAGCAGCCTTCCTCGTATGCAAAATATTTTTTTACATCATTGCCTCAACAAGGTACTTATTCTCTTTAAGATTCTTGGAATGCCAAATGCAATACAATCTTTTGAGAAGAGGCGAGAAAAACCTCAGGAGAGCTGATTAAATACCTGTGCAAGTATTGTCTGAGAGATACAGGGTCATTGGGCATTTTCCCAGAAAAGTCAGTCCTCCCACTGCTGGCTTGTCAGATTCCCAACCTTAGACTTTTAGAGAATTCCAACTAATGCAAGTGTAAAAAAATCTTTAAGACCCTAAAAGCTTTCGGAAAAAAGTGACAGCCTGTTAAAGTAAAGCAAAACTCAAATAAAGGCCTAGGTTATCCGTTCTCAGTGTGTTGGTAACAGAAGCAATCAGCTTTTCTAAAACAAAGAGATGCCTGCTTCATTAGAGCCCATACAAAATGCCTTTCCCGAGCATGTCTTCTCTTGGCTTCAGCTTCCAGCCTCAATCTTGAATAACTTTGAAGATGTGCGAGGCAGTGTTTCAGGTATCCATTACTCTTGGTGGGAAAGGAAGGCCTGAAAATAGAGAAGGAAAGTCTGCTTGGCTTCTTCCCTCCCTCTCCCAGCTCTGTCGCTGTTTTCTGCAAATGCTTTACCATAGCTTATCTAGACAGCAGCTGACACGGGCCACTGATTCACTCTGGGTTGAAAAAGTGACCTCTTGAGGATAGTAATCTCTTTAGTCTGTGATTGTAGAATTGTGACTCACTCTTTCTGTAACACCAAAAAAAAAAAAAAAAAAAAAGTCAACTTAGAAACAAACATAGGTGAAAGTTGTCAGTAATAAACTTCAAAGGTGGTCAGTTTTGTTTTTGTTTTTGTTTTTTTTAATTTATAGCATTAGATGGATGAACGTAGCGTGATGTAACTTCCAGCTAAATGCCATTGCCCTCCCAACTCATCCTAGCTTCGGCTTTGGCTTCCTCTTTCTGGTTGGACAAAGATTAGAGTGAGGGTAGGATCATGTTCCCAGGTCTCTTGTCCACATTTCCTGACATTCTTTGGCCTTATGGACCCATGGAGGGACTTCCATCAGAGTTGGGCTCCTGGCCTCTCCCACCTTCACCTCCATGGGAAGACTTGTCACACCTCGCTGGATAGCTTGAGGGAAAGATTGACATGCTCACGTCAGGCCCCTCTGGACGTCCTTCAGGGTCTGCCTGTCCACTGAATGGGTTAACCTGCACCTTCACATCCCAGGCTGCTCTGCTTCTTTCGGGGAGGCCAAGAGCATGGGAGGGACCTGTGGTTGGCAGGTGCTTGAGTGAGTTTAATTCTGGAGTTATTTAGAGTTAAGAAGCCTGTTGTAGGCACACATCTAAGTGGCATCCCCATAGCCCCTTAACCCCTCCAATCCAGTATTTATTTGTGATAATACTGATTTTTTTAAATCTCCTGCCACAGTCAAATCCACAGAGACAGGAAGTAGAATGGTGGTGGCTAAGGCCTGTGCCTGAGGGCGAATATGAAGTTATTATTTAATGGATATGTGGTTTTGGGTTTGCAGGATGAAATGGATTCTAGAGATGGCTGATTGTAATGGCTACACAACAAAATGAATGCACTTAGGTGGGTAAATTTTATGTTATGTGTATTTTGTGTTATGTTATGTATTTTGTTATATTTATGTTATGTTATATATTTTAACACAGTAAAGTAAATGGAAAAAACAAGTTCCTTCCAGTTTCTTTGCCTATGTCCCCCAGGACTGGACACATCATACACTTAACTTGCAGTGACTTACAGGAACCAGAAGCTGGAAATGTTACAAAGGACGCTTCATCCCCCTTTGATGAGGGGACTTCTATTCTTTTTTTAAGTTATTTTTATTCTATGAGGGGACTTCTCCCCACTTTCTCACCCACTCCTTTCCTTGAGAGGAAAGATGACTTTCCCTGCTAGGCGAGCTCTCACTCACCCTCAGATCCAGCTGGCCTGGAGAAGGCTCCTGTGGAAGTCTTTCCATCTCTACAGGAGATGTTTCAGGGTGTCCAGATTTTCCTTGAACTGGATGGGTTACTTGAATTCTAAAATGAAATACCAGGAAGCCAATTGGATTGTCTATCATGCTGCATTCTTCAACCTAACTTTTTTTTTCTTTTAATTTTTTTGTTACATTTATTTATTTTTGAGAGACAGAGCGTGAGCAGGGGAGGGGCAGAGAGAGAGGGAGACACAGAATCGGAAGCAGGCTTCAGGCTCTGAGCTGTCAGCACAGAGCCCGATGCAAGGCTCAAACCCATGAACCCTGAGATCATGACGTGAGCCGAAGTCGGACACTTAACTGACTGAGCCACCCAGGCGTCCCTCTTCAACCTAGCTTTTACGAATTTGTTCATTAGCCAAATATTCATTGACTACTTATGTGTTCCAACTCTTCTGAGCACTTGGGACAGAGTGATGAAGCTATTATTTTTATCTCTATCTGTCCAGTTCCTGGGTATTAATGCTTCATTAGGGAAGGAAAACAAAACTGGGGAAGGAAAGAAAAATGTTCAATCCATTATGTATTGAACCCCTTAAGCCTCTACAATTAACATATTCTTTGTTTAATGTAGAATTGATTAATATTTGTTTATTCAATATATATTGAGTCCCTGTGATAAGTAAGTCACTGAGATGAACAACAGTCTTTGTGAAGCTCCAAGTCTAGTAGGGAAAAAAGAAACACCAGTGAGTACATTCAATACGTTATAACTGATGGATAGTGTGGTATGAGCAGAAACAGGACTGTAATTAGCATATTCTTATTTTAAGTAGTTCAATATGGAATACATATCAAATTCTCAATATACCCTTAACTGAAAGCAGTAATCCCCACCACCTTCTTTTTAAAATTCTGGCAAATGCGAGAAATAAGAAATTTAGAAAGGAAGACTAAGGGTAACAGCGAAAACAACAACAAAACCCCAAAAGCTTTACCTAAAATTAGGACACAGTCAGATATTATCATGCTTAGAGGTTAGTGCAAACAGGAATCAACACAAAATGGGTATGATTAGCCATCTGCAGGAATCATGGCAGGAAATAAGCCACCCAAGAGATGATTCACAAATGTATTGCTAGCAATTCAAGGGTGTTTTCTACATATCACCAGGGGTCTTAGCATGCTTCCCTAAAAGGGAAGCCATCAATTTAAAATGTAACTAGTAGAAGATTAGTAGTAATTTAAGAAATCGCAAACTGTCATAAGGAAATGATAGAGGATTTGGATGACAGATAAAAAAGTATGAAAATGAATAGTACAGTAGAATTTGCCAGTGTGTCCTCACAATCTCTAGGGAAGGAATCTTGCTGATTCTAAAGGCTAGTAAGGGATATCTTAGCAATATTCCTAGGACCGAGGAGAGCAATTTGTCTCATTTGGTAGTTGGATAACCCCTAATTGCAGCTGAGTCTGTTCTTTATTCTATGTTCACTAATTAACTTGCTGATCCAACTGTTGGCCAAGCACAAACTCCCATTGAACTGGCCCAGTAGTCAGGCACAAATGACTACTAATGGTCATCCTGTTAGATATTATCCTCAAGGTAAATTAATGAATGGATATGCTCATGGCTAAACCACTTAGTGAGTTGGATTTAGGGGACTCACTAAGACTCTAGAGCCTGCTCATCTTAGATCACTAATAAAATTAATGTACATTCTACATGCGTCGCTCTCATTCAGATTCAGGGATGTTAGCCATGAGACATAAACAACTAGTATGTCTGTCTGTCTGTCATTCTTTTCCTAATCCCCTCAACTTTGTTCATTTTCCATCCACTCAGGCCTGAAATCATAAAAACTTTCTTTGAATTATCTCCATCATAGTCTAACAATAATCCCATCCAATTAATTTTTCCTTCTTATTCTTCCTTTCACCTAAGTCTGGGCCTTGAAGATATCACAATTATGTGGTGACAAAGTATTTCCAAGTACAAATTGATGTGATTACACACGCCCCACTCCTATTCCACCTCAGTCACTCATTTACTCCCTAAGAGCCCCCCCCCCCCAGATGAGCGTTAGACAGGTACCCATTGCCACTGTGGACTTAACGCAGAACCAGCAAAAGTGGAAAGTCATTATTCTTAATTTCAAAACCTTAGAGGTGATACTGATAGATTCAATCCACATGTGTGACTTTCCCACCTAGTCTAAAGAAAGAATCTCCAAGCTGGAAAAGAAGGCAATCAAAGGAGGGGCTACCAGAAAAAAAGAAATAAATACAAGTGTAAGAGTGGTGCCCTGCTTCTGCCCCCTCACGATGAGGCCTGAGAAAGGACACTGCCAATCCTCTTATTTATGTTTGGGGACCCATGCAAAGAAAGTTGTTCTGTTGGAGTAGGGCTGGGAGATAGCAGACAGTAAGAGTGGGGACAAATTCCTCTCTTCCTCCTCTCATGCTGCCATCATTAAGAAGAACCTGCCAGGTGAAAATGGTGACATGGATGCATTTAGATGCTAGCCGGAGACAGTCTACCTAGTGTCATGAGCTGGAGTGGTGTGGATGGTATCAGAAATCTCCCATGGCCCTCTAGTTCTGAACACTGAGATCGTCTAAGACAGGGACCTGCAAAGGTCCTCACCATCTGAATAAGGGCACATCTCAGAAGGAAGATTCTTTGTGGACAGTCTCTGCTCCCAATGTCTGTCCCATGCCTATGTAGAGGACCACAAGATGAGTGAAATCGTGAACAGGCTTCACCATAGTGGGGAGAAAGTTAAATGGAACATCTCTTTTGTCTACCTGCCCACTCCTTTCACCCTATCCTGAAATGATGGAGTTAAACACCCTGAAAAAAAAAAAACAACAACAACACAGAATAAGACTTGTTTTACCTGGAAGTGACTCGAGTAAATTTTATCCAGCAAGAAAAATGGAGCTGAGCTCCAGAAATTAAAATGAATTATAGAAAATGAAGACAGTTATGGGTCTTGTTTTTGTTGTTGCACACTTGACTAAGACCTTTAGAATTTGTACCTGCTACTTTCATATTACTAAAATATCTTTTTAATAAGTTCCCTGCCTCTATCTTACATACCACTGTCAAATTAATCTTCCTAAATGCCTACTTTAACAGTGCACTTGATGACTTCCTATTGCTTTCAGGATGAAGTCCAAGCTCTTCATCCCTGAGGCATTGTGAAAGGCCCCACACCATCTGCTCCCCAACTACTTTTGAACATTTTACCTCCTGCCATTTTCAGTAGGAATCCTCTGTTCCCAGAAAGCCACCCCTCTGACTTCCAGCCTCAATGCCTTTGTCAACATCTTCTCTTACCACCTTCATCACATCTAAAGTGTTCTCCCTGCTTCTTTTATAGAAATCTCAACTTACTTCATAATTTGCTTAAAAAATTGTTTTTACAGTCCATCCTTGCAGTTTTCTGAACACATCTATCCATTTGCATTCTACTACATGGTAAGAAAAGTAGTGATGAGTTGCCAGGGGAAATGAGAGGAATACCTCAAGATGGGGCTGTCAGAGAATGCTTCCTAGAAAGTGTGCATATATGTTGGGTCATAAAGGCAGGTAAGATTTATATATATATAGGGATGGCAAAGATGGGGGAAAAGCAGTCTATAGGAAGAGATAAAATTATAGGCAAAGATATTTTCCATACATTTGGGGATTATTGAGTGGTTGAATCAAGCACAAGCTTGATTTTCTTAACTCCTAAAAGTTATTTTCTTAACTCCTAAAATATTTGTTGTCCGTTCCACAAGTTTAGTATGTAACTGATATCTCTGTCTATACCATATCACCTCTCTCTATATACCACATTTTGTAGGTTATGTATCAACCTACCTATTGGAATGTCCAGGTACACGTACATGACTTGTCTCCAAGTAGGAAAACATTGCTTGGCATGTTTGGGATGTCTTATCACAGATAATTTCTGATGAGTATCACCACCTTAACCAATGGTAATACATGAAAAGTAAAGGAAACTTGGAATCTGTGTCTGAGCACTGACCTCTCAGTAGCACTAATTTTCATTTATTTCTCATTTAGAATTTCTAGGAAATGAAATATCTAAGGTGTCAGATGTATAGATAGTCAGAATTAACAATGATAATTACAGAATCTGGAGGTAATAAAAGCAACTAGAGAGAAGATAGTGGACATGGAAGAGAGAACAAGGTGATCCAACATGAGGATAACTGGTTATATAGATACAGAAAACTAAAACAAACAAAACAAAATAAGATGGTGCAAACATATAACAAAGATTTTTCTAAGTGAATTATTCAATAGAACTTGTGATGCACAATATCACTGCTGACAGAGTCAGTTCTTCTGGGAAGAATGTTGGGCTCCTAACGTTACAAATTGAAGAATTGAAACTTTTTCCCCCCATGGAAAAAATAAATACCGGCTAAATTCTTTTAGGTTTAGTTCAAGTAAGTTTTGAGTTGAATGAGCTTTTGTAGGCTGATTTAGGTGCAGAATCAATGTTTTTAGAATAGTTTCTATGTGGAAATATGTTCTGAGTGTCAAAGTCCTTAGAAATAGACTTCTAGAACATAAGTCACTTTTTCATTTGGAAGCTATCTATATTTCTTTTGTAATGGCTTCAGAGCCTAGCAGAAAATTATACGTAGAACAGGAATCTAGTAAATACCTGTTGGGGAAAAAAAATGAATGTATGCAGGTGCTTAATTCTGAATTCACTGGGTGAGACTAGTAATGGTTTGTGTACTGGATGGGAAATGCTCACATTCTTCAAATGATAATTATGAGAAATCACAAGCACAAAATACCTACTACATACTAGAAATTTTAATAAATCTTATCATAACAGGTCAGAAATAATTGTCTCCTCTTGGAAGCCACTGATGGGACAAAACTTTGACATGGATCTGCAGAGTGAAAGGAATGATTCAAAGGACTTTGGAAGTAAAATGCATCTGGGAATCCACAACATTTGTTTCATTTATTCATTCATTCATTTGCATACATTTATGTATATTCTTTCATCTATTTATCCAGCCTATGTATTAGTTTTCTACCACGACAGTAACCAATATCACAAATTTAGTATTTTAATATAACACACATATAGTACCTTACAATTATGTAGGTTAGAAGTACAGGTGAAAATCAAAGTATCACCTGCCTAGGATCTCATGTGGAAGCTCAGAAAAGAATCTTGTAAACTTATAAACCCATTCAGGTTGTTGCCAGAATCCAGTTCCTTACAGATGTAGAGTGAGGTTTTCACTTTCTTTCTCACGGCCAGCTGGAGATTTCCCTTAGCTCCTAGATATCCGTCTCTGATCCTTGCTTATGGCCTTCTACATATAGGAACCAACAACTGGGCAGTCATCCTTCTCATACTTGGAATCTCTCCGACTTCCTGTTACCAGGATAATTCAGGAAATGGTCCACACCATCTTAGGGTTCATAATCTGCATTATATCTGCAAAGTCCCTATGAATGTAACACATTCACATCCAGGGTGTGAACTTCTCTGGAGGGCCATTCTGCTTACCAAAGCCAACAGTAATTATTTTTGCTATGGACCTTTTCTATTTTCAATAAATTCTATCTCAATGACTGGAGGAGGAGGGCTGCTCAGTAACCTTGTCGAAGCCCTGCCAAGAAGTGACCTCTTAGCCACAGGTTTCATGAACAACCTCACATTTTAGCCATTAAAAACAAAACGAAACAAAAAGCAAAACTCATTTCCAACCCTGAACTATGTTAGTAGTTTTCTACTGGTTATTTAAAAAATTATCAAAGTGTATTTTTTAGCTTATAGAATCATAAATAGCTGACAGAAATTGCACACAAATATATAATAAGGATATGACTTGTGTAACTAATTTATTGCTAAATCTTCTACCTTGTGGGGAAGTGGGGATTCTCATACACTGCTACTGAAAGGTAAATTTCTGGAGTGTGATTTGGCAACATATAGAAAAGCCCCCAAATATGTATAGTCTTTAAGACATAAATTGTCATTCCAGGAATTTCTCTGAAAGAAATAACAATGGAGGGGCACCTGGCTGTCTCAGTCAGTAGAATGTGTGACTCTTGATCTCAGGGTCTTGAGTTCAAGCCCCATATTGGGTGTAGAGATTACTTAAAAGATAAAAAATCTTAAAAATGTATATTTAAAAAAAAGAAATAACAGCAGCTATGGATAAAGCTTTCACTACAAATATAGTCAAATGAACATATATGAATGTAAAGTAAAAAAATAACGATATAAATATATACGAAAATGGTTACAAATTATGCTTCTTCCATACAATGAAATGATGTCTTATGACAAAACTCGTTGACAGGTTTGGAGATCTGACTTCACAGGGAACCTGTGTCCCCAAATCAGGCCAAACCTGGGAGAGCTAGATAGGGCCCAAATTTTTCCTTGCCCAATAAACAAAAGAAGAAATATCAACATGGTGAATCTGGGCCAAGTTCTAGTATAAATCAAGAAGCATAATTTCCCTTATCCCTGGTGGGACATAGTTGTGGTGAAAGACCTTGGACCATAACAGGTCTTGAAAACTCCAGAACATCACAGGCAACCTGCCCAAGTTTCCTGAGGGAGAAGCCAGACCGGGAGAGACTTTGTCGTCATGATTCCTACAAGGACCAACAATTGAGAACCTGGCAGGTAGGAGTATAATTCTATGCAGGCTCCCTGGAACTTTTAGATGCAATCCTAGGGCAGGGAAAAATCATGAATTGACTGAGATTAGTTTCTGCTACCAGTAGAATGAGAAATAAAAATTAAGGTGAACTATGGAAAATAAATTGCATTTCTTGCATATCTGAGATTTCTACACACAACACATGAACAAAGACTGGAAGTAGATATTCTATAACAGTGATGGTAGCTATCACTCTAGGTGTTATCATTATGAGTGATATTGACTTTATTGTTTGGAATTTTCATTTGTAAAAATAATGGAATATGTGTGGGTCTCAAATGTGGAAGAAATAATATAATTATTTATTTTCTCATATACTCTAATAGAAGCATCAGCCCTATCTAGCACGGGCTCTACCTCAAATAGTCTGGAGCAACCCCCATGTTGAATCAAGCTTCTGAGCCTTATGCTACGTAAATGTGTATATATGTGTGTGTGTGTAGAGGAGGGCCCCCCATCATCATGCAGTTTTCTGTCCACGCTGTTTCCATGTGTGTCATCCACTGTCACCCACCCCATAGTTCCTAGAATTAAAAAAAAACACAAAAAAACCTTTTTTTCCCAAAAAATTAAAGTTTATTTATTTATTTTGAGAGAGAGACAGAAAGCATGAGCAGGTAATGGGCAGAGAGAGAGGGAGAGAGAGAATCCCAAGCAGGCTCTGCACTGTCAGTGTGGAGCCGAATGTGGGGCTTGAACTCACAAACTGTAGGATCATGACCTGAGTTGAAACCAAGAGCTGGATGCTTAACTAACTGAGCCACCCAGGCACCCCTTCTTATAACCCTTTTTAATTCTGTAAGGACAGCAGTGATGTCCCTTTTTTCATTACTAATTTTGGTAGTTTAAGTCTTTCTTTCTTTTTTTTTTTTTTCTTTCTTTCTTTCTTTCTTTCTTTCTTTCTTTCTTTCTTTCTTTTTCTTTCTTTCTTTTTCTTTCTTGTCTTCTTCCTTCCTTCCTTCCTTTTTTTTGTCAGTCTTGATAAAGGTTTGTCAATTTTATTGATCTTTTCAAAAAAGTAACTATTGATTTGTTGATTTTCACAATTATTCTTCTATATTCTATTTCATTCATTTCTGTGCTAATCTTTATTATTTTCTTCCTTGTATTTGTTTTGGGTATAGTTTTTTCTTCTTTTTCCAGTGTCTTAAGGTGAAAACTTAGGTCATTGATTTGAAGTCTTTCTTTTGTTTCAAATATAGGTGTTTACAGCTATAAATTTCTCTTTAAGCACTGTTTTGACTATATGCCATAAGTTCGATGTTAACTTAAATCAAGTTAGTTTTAACACTAACTCGGTTTCAATAAAATTGAGAGAAACTGGCTCAAATATATCTGTATTCCTTTTCCCTTCCTTTGTGCTATAATTGGCATATAAATTACATCTTTATGCATTATAAATCCAGCAACACAATTTTGTAAATATTGTTTATGGAGTTGTTTTTTGAATCAGATAGAAGAAAAGAGTTACAAAAAATACACTTTTATTGCCTCTTATATTTACCTATACAATTACACTTACTCACGCTCTTTATTTCTTCGTGTGGATTCAAATAAATGTTGAGTGCCTTTCCACTTCAGCCTGTATGGCATCCTTTATTATTTCTTGCAGGGCAGGAAGTTGTCTACTAGCAACAAATTTTCGGTTTTTGTTTGTCTGAAGATATGTTAATTTCACCTTCATTTTTGATGCAGAGTGTTGCTGGATATAAGATTGCATTGACAATCTTTTTCTATCAGCACATAAATATATTTTCCAAGGGCTTTCTGGTTTCTATAGTTTCTGATGAGAAGACAGCCCTTAATCACATTGAGGATCCGTCGTACATTATGAGTCATTTTTCTCTGGCTCTTTTCGAGATTCTCACGTTTGTCTTTGTCTTTCAACAATTTGACCAGGTATCTATGTATAGAGCTCCTTGAATTTATCAAGTCTGAATTTACTGAGCTTTATTGATGTGAAGGTTAGCTTTTAAATCAAACTTTGGAAATTTTCAGCAATTATTTCTTCAAATATTCTTTCTGCTCCATTTCTCTTTCTTCTCTTTCTGAGATTCTTATTATGCATTGTAGTACATTTCTTGCTGTATCACAGGTCTCTCAAGCTCTGTTAACTTTTCTGCCTTCTATTTTCTCTCTGTCCCTCAGACTGTACAATATCAATAGACATATCTTTAGGTTCACTGATTCTTCTTCCAGTTCAAATTTACTGTAGAAACCCTCTAATGGATTTTTAATTTTATTTGTTGTATTTTTAAACTCCAGGGTTTCTGTTTGGTTCTTTTGATAATTTCTTTGTATTGTTATTCTCTATGTACTGACATATAGTTGTCATACATTACATTAATTCTTTAGATTTTGTTTCCTTTAGTTCTTTGAACATACTTACTGTAACTGATTTAAAGTCTTTGTCTAGTAAGGCCAACATCTAGGCCCTCTCAGGGGCAGTCCTGTTGACTGCTTTATTTTCTATGTACAGCCACACCTTCCTGTTTCTTTTCCTGTTTTATAATTTTCTATCAACACCTGCACATTTTATATACTATAATCTGGTAACTCTGGAAATAAGCTATCCCCCCCACTCCCAGCAGGATTTCATGTTGTTACAAAGTGTTTTTTGTTGTACTTGTCATTGTTGTTTTTTCTACTTGTTTAATGACTTTCCTGGACTAATTCTGTATTCCTTGTGAGGCACAGCCACTGAAATCTCTGCTCAATTAGTTTAGTGCTCAGGTGATGTTGGTCAGAGACTTTCTCAGCCAATTGGCTTGAAACAATTGGTTTGCACCAACAGATTTTCCACCCTTTCATGAGGGGCTCTGTGTGTGTGTGTGTGTGTGTGTGTGTGTGTGTGTGTGTGTGTCTTTTGGGAACACCTCCACCAGTCTGCCTTAGCCTTGTTCTTCTGCTTATGCAAAGCCTCAAGAACCACAGGCTAGAGACTACCATTCTCTCAGATCTTTGCTAGACATGCTCACAGCCCTACCCCTGTGTGTGGCCTTCAACATCCCCAAGGGCATGACAAAGTGTTTCAAAGCCCCTTTGGACATCTCATTCCCCAGAACGGCCTTTTCACTTTTTTGCCACCTCTTGTCTGCCCCAACTATGAAGTATCACAGCCTCAAGTAGAGGTGATATTAGACAATTACTGATGGTTATTTTTGAAAATTGCTCTTGGGGTTCTGTGTCAGGTAAAATAACGGCAACACCCTGTGAATAGGGCTTTTCCAGGAAGCTGAGAGACAAGTCAAAAAGGGAGAAAACTAGGAGAATAGGACTTTATGAGGGGCTTCAAATCCAGTGTGCTTCCCCTGGGGCCTATAAGGCAGCTCGTTTTTGAGGTTATTGTGGAGTTGGGGAGATGAAAGAACAACACAGTTCAGCTTTTGAATTTAAAGTTTGACCGTTTTATCGCTTCTCGGCCTTTTAGCTAAGATCAAGTGTAAAGTTTGACCGTTTATACCCTGACACACACACACACACACACACACACACACACACACCCCGTTTATGTTTCCAACATTGACATCAGAAAAATACAAAGACAGATGGTGACTTAAATATCCCTATCCATTTGTTAAGGCCTACCTCAAGTGACCCCTTTTGGTTTTCTCATCAATTCTGTCTTCCCTCTGCTAATTTAAATTCTCCTTCCTTTCGCTTGGTCATGCCCTTTTCATATCACTTTTCAACCTGTGTTACTCTTATTTGTATGTGTCTTCCCAGTATTTGCACATATTGTAGGAACGAAAAAGAAAGGAGCAAATGGACACAATCACCTCCAAAAAGTGATAACATTCAATAATAAGGTAAGAGGAAACCCTTCGGATTTTATTTATTTATTTATTTATTTATTTATTTATTTATTTATCTATCTATCTATTTATTTTGATGATAATGCTTTTACAGTTTTAAAAAGATAACAGCTCTGTCTCTATGAAGAAACCATATGGTAAGAAGACCGCTCAGTAGTAGAGGGTTGGTTATAAGCATTCCTGGAAATGAGGCCTAATTTAGGTATGCCTACTATGTAAAGACTTACTCCTAGCCAGTTGGACAAAGGGAGAAAGGAAAGGAGGTAAAGAAGTGTGGACAGGGACAAACGAAAAACCTGAAGCATGATTAAGTAGATCTATAGGTGGTACATTAGTGGTCCTCCCTGTTACCCATGGCTAGAACAGGCCTTGAGAGTGTGTGCATCCTAAAGGAGGCATCATTCTGCAGTCAAGGGCACCCATATGGGTTATAGACTCAGCTCCTGGGAAGAAACAAAGGCCCTCTGTAAGGCCAGTGTTAGAACTCTGAGCCTATTTCGGTAACAAAGAATTTCACCTAAAATTACAAAAGATGACTTAATATGGAAGTGTGTCTTTTATAGATGTGGTATATGTGGAAGCCAAGTTTAGTCTCTTTTGATATTTAAACTGAATAGAAGTTTCTCTTTGGAACCATGCCACACTTGGAGCTTTATCTCCATGCTGCGGTGAACTCTTATTTCACATTAGAGGTCTACTGGTTTGCAGCCCGATCGAATGGAAAGGAATAGATTCTGAGTCAGAATATAAAGGATATAAGAACAATGTAAAAAAATGGCCAAAGTGGGTTAAAAATTCTATGCCGTTCTCTTCAAGTCTAAGTCTTTTAGTTCTGATTAAAAAGATCACAGAGAATGAATTACTTAGATCCCTTCCTAAGGGGCTTGCTAGCTTAGAGACCACACTGATAAAACCAGGAAGATTAACTACACTCCATTTCTTATATGTGGCCCAGACTCCCTTTGGGTGAATGATGGAGTCAGGCTTTGGTTACAAAGATCACCGACTAAGATTTTTCAGGTGTGGACAGGTAAGAATAAGCAAGAATAATGTACATGATGTATCCAGTTGTGATCTTTCTTTATGTATGTAACTCTATGAAAATAATGATATAAATATGTATACTTGTTTATATTAATTTATTGGAATAAAAGTGGGAAAACATTAAAAAATACTCACACCAAGGCAGAGTAAATTTTATAATCATCAAACTTTGATCAATACATTTAATAGAAATTTATTTTTCTCATCATGACTAAATAGAAAATAAACTCTCCAATCAGTTTGAGTTTCCATTTTTGCTCAGAACCTTTCAGGGCACCTGGGTGGCTCAGTTGGTTAAGCTTCTGACTATTGATTTCAGCTCAGGTCATGATCATGGTTTGTGAGTTCAAGCCCCGAATTGGGCTCTGCCCTGATAGTGTGGAGCCTGCTTGGGATTCTGTCTCTGCCTTTCTCTCTGTCTCTGTCTCTGTCAAAAATAAATAAACTTAAAAGTAAAAAAAGTTTTCCATTCTGCTCAGTCATTACATACACTGGAAGACTTTAGAGCGATAGGATATAAACAATTGTCACTTTGGGGGCACATGGGTGACTCAATCAGTTAAGCATCTGACTTCAGCTCAGTTCATGATCTCACAGTTTGTGGGTTTGAGCCCCACATCGGGCTCTGTGCTGACGGCTCAGAGCCTGGAGCCTGCTTCAGATTCTGTGTCTCCCTCCCTCTCTGCCCCTCCCCTGCTCATGCTCTGTCTCTCTGTCTCTCTCAAAAATGAATAAACTTAAAAAAATTTTTTTTAAATAAATAAAAAGAAAAAAAATTTGTCATTTTGGTCTGTTGTGCCTTCAAGTAACAAAGCCTATTTTATCTGCTAACTTTAATTACTGTGCATGGTTTCTTATCTGTGCTTGCCACTGGCTAATCTTGTCCTTCTTGTCATGGTCTCAGATGACACTGGCTGACATTCAGAAGACATTGGATATCTTCTCTTCTAGGGCTTGGAATTTTTCTACCCAGCTAAGAAGGCAACAACCCCAAGATCCCTCCATGGAAATGGTACTGTCCTTCTACTTGGCTTGCTTCCTTGGTAACCGTATGAGTGTATCACTTATTCACTGGAAACGGACTTAACCATGGCAATTGCTTTGTTAAATCCTAAGTTCCCATATTTTACAATCATTCACAGTGCTTTACAGAATCCCTTTTTATCTAAGGGAGTTTTGCCCTGCCCTTTTCCCCTTTGAACCATATTTGTATTATTTAACCTTAGAGATAACATACTTATGAATATTCTACCCTCTCAAACTCACATTCACTTGTGAATTCCAGACACTTTGGGCTACGGTTGGAATGTCTCTATGTCCATGATATTAATTCCTCACCATTCAAAGGGCTCTTTCATCTCAGTCTCAACTGGGCTCTTAGCAGTAAAGTCAGACTCTTAGAAGAGCCAAGTGAAAATGTAAATTGGTGTTCTTTTAGTTAACATCATTCTTGCTTCCCATTGATGTAAGCCTTCCATCTGGGTACTAGAATACAACAGTTTTTGGTGAGGACTGGAAGTGAGTCAAAAGGATGGCCTGTTGGCCAAACGATGAAAAAAAAAAAAAAAGATGATTGGGAAAATGGGTATAAATTTCTAAGGTAGTGTCTCCCCTCCCACCAAAAAAATAAATGCAAATGTTAGTTAAGTAAGGGACAATTGCATTTATTGTATGAATATAAAACTTTATAATACTTTATTGTTAAAAGTGCAAACCATAATCTGAGCTCTCAGTAAGCCATAATCACTGCTCACAGATCACCCACAACAAATATAATAATGATGAAAAAGTTTGAGGTATGAGAACTACCAAAACGTGACACAGACACACAAAGTGAGCAAATGCTATCCGGGCAAAAAAATGCTGCAAACAGACTTGCTGGAGGCAGGGTTCCCACAAGCCTTCAGTCTTTAAAAAACACAATATCTGCAAAGCATAGAAAGGCAAAGCACAAGAAATGAGGTATGCCTGTTTTTCATATTGTGAATATATTTGTTAAATATGAAAATGTTAGGCACTATGCTTAGGGAAAAAGAAGAAATTGAAAACTGCTCATAAAAAAAAGAAAATTGCTCACAATCCCGTCACTTGTAAAATTTGGGGTGCTGGCCTATTTATTTCCAGAATGCATGGTATTCACAGTTGAAACATCGTGATACTCAACAGGGTGCAAATCATAAATATTAGGTAGATAACATTTCTCATTAAGGAGTTTCTAGCTTCCATTATTTGAATTTTAGCAAACATTTAAATTATGTCTATAAAAGTCTTCTTTCTGTATTCCACCTCTGTGTCTCCCTCAGTCCCTAAAGCCCAGTAAAATGTAGTCATTTTAGATATGGTTTATGTTTGAAATGACGACGGCTCTGAATACAAACAGATATTCATCAGCTAACAGTGGTTGGCAATCAAATGCTTATGAGGGCCTGGCAATTAATTCCTAAAATTTCCTGGGCAAAGATGTAGTAATACGAACTCCCAAACTTGCCCAAACTGGCCACAATTTCCCCAAATGGCCCAAGGGCAAATTCAGAGTTGCCATAGTATTGCTTACTAGGGGAGACGCTGGCTCACAGGCAGAGGAACAAATGAATGCAGGGGCTAATCTGTGCCCTAAGTGAGGACATCTCTTCCCCATGGATCAAACAATGCCAGTTTTCCTCTGCCCTCCAGCAAAATTACACAAAGGGAAATTTTGCCTGACTTATCCACAAGAGTTTTTGAGAGTAAATAATGAAAAGGCTAAGGGAAAATTAATAGATTCAGTTAATTTAAACCTTCAAAATAAAATCTGGCTGTTTCAAAAGAAAGGCAAATGAGCCATCTCGGGTTGGGGAGACTGATATTCCGTCCTAGCAAAGAAATTTCGTTAGCGCTGAAAACAGTTTGGGAATAAATAAGCTGGCAGAGCTCTGCATGGTTCAGCACTGAAACTGATCTTACTTTAAATTTTACAAAGTTTCAAAAAGGTGGAAATATGGTAAAATGTCTAAAGGTGCACTTGACATCGGGCTCTCCTATGAATCAACTTGCTAAGCCAAATGGAAATGAGAGGTAGATCTTTTGAAGCTGAAATGAGTCATTGGGAGAGCTTCAGTCTGGGTGAGGAAGTACAAATTATAGGAATAGTGACCTAAACTGTGCTGCTCAGGTTACAGATTTATCAGGGAACTCTATTAGAATCTTCTTTCGTGCTGTGCACCCTGTTAGATGCTTCCACACATTATTTTAAAAATAATTCTCAAAATAGATCCTGCACAATTATGTATTCTCATTTTACATATAAAGAAATTGGGATTAGGACAGTGTAAGTCATGTAGCCAAGGTCAGAGAGCTAATAAGAGGCCCAGCCATCCTTGAACTGTCTTCATAGGCCTGTCAGTTTTAATCCCCAAAGAGGTGTGGAAAGTATCATAGACTTCACACCACATACTCTGGAACAAGCTCCTACTCTAGCAAACACTGTTGATACAGTTTTTTAGACACAATCTGACGGAATATTTGAAAGCAAATAAATCTTAATCTTAATATCATAGTATTTTTCTATATGGAGTATAATATGTGTGATCGTAACGCACATCTCTTCCAAAAAAGATATGTTGGAGCTGGAGAAGGTCCAGTGATTGGCAGGAAAAACAAATCTGCTCTTAGGAAGTGATGTCTGTTCAACTAAGTGTATCTGTGATTGTATGCTGCTTAACAACATAATCACAGCAACAAAACAAGTTCAAGGGCACTGTTATAATAGTCTTTCATATAAATATTAATTTGCACCTCCTTCTGTCTTCTCTTTTCAAACCTGAAATGGATATCTGCTGTTTTTGGCCTCCTTTCCCCAACCAGTGTCTATTTGCAGACATGCTTTGCTTTTGAGCAGTCTTCCCCTCCTCCTGCACTTGGAGTTCATTTGCCCACGTTCTAAGAACAAAAGGGATGACCCGGACCGACTTGTCCATTCTCAGTGATTGGCTCCGTTTGTCGTGTGACTCAGGATGGTCAAATCAAAGTGAACCTGTTGTATTGGTTTCCTGCATCCGCTCTAAAGGATTCCCACAAACCTGGTGAAAACAACAGAAAACTCACTCACAGTTCCTCTGAAATCTATCTCCCTAAGGCCAAAATTAAGGTGTCAGCTGGGCAGTGCTCTCTCTGGAGGCTCTAGGGGAGAATCTGCTCCTTGCCTCTTCCAGCTTCTGGCGGCTGCCGACATTCCCAGACGTGTGGTCACATCACCTCCATTTCTACCTCCATGGTCACATTACTTTTCCTCTTCTGTGTGTGCAAAGTCTCCCTCTACCTTCTTCTTATAAGGACACTTGTGATTGTATTTAAAGTACACCTGGAAAATTCAGGGTAATTTCCCATGTCAAGATTCGTGGGACACCTGGGTGGCTCAGTTGGCTAAGTATCCATGTCTTGATTTCAGCTCAGGTTATGATCTCACAGTCATGGTATTGAGCCTGGCATCAGGCTCCACACTGAGCGTGGAGCCTTCTTGGGATGCTCTCTTTCCCTCTCTCTCTGCTCCTCCCCCACTTGCTTGTGTGTGTGTGTGTGTGTGTGTGTGTGCGCGCGCACTCTCAAAAAAAAACCGAAATTTTATTTATTAAAAAAAATTTTTTTTGACATTTATTTATTTTTGAGAAACAGAGTGAGACAATGTGTGAGCGGGGAAGGGGCAGAGAAAGGAGGAGACACAGAATCTGAAGCAGGCTCCAGGCTCTGAGCAAGCGGTCAGCACAGAGCCTGACGCGGGGCTCGAACCCACGAACTGTGAGATCATGACCTGAGCCGAAGTCGGACGCTCAACTGACTGAGCCACCCAGGCGCCCCAAGAAATTTTAACATAATCATATTTGCAAAGACTTTTTTTCCATTATAAAATAGTATTTCCTGGTCTCAGGAATTAGGACCTTTTTATCTTTGGGTGGCCATTGTTCAGCTTACTACAGCTGGGCAGAAGTAATGAAAGGAAACGTCATTTTTATTCTGGACTCAGGCGCTGAGTGTATGATCCTGCAGACATATTGCCACCAAGGGAATACCTGCCTGAGAAGGACCAGAAGGAGAAAGTGGAGCCCAATACAGAAGGAGTGGGGACCTAACGATATACTTTCAGGTGTCTCTCAGGGTCTCAGGTAGGCCAGCCTCTCGACATCAAGTTATTTGAGCTAGTAAATTCCCTTTTTGCTTAAGCCAGATTTTTTTTTAAATTTTGCCTAGAGAAGGACTAGCATAAATTGCATCTCCACTATTAAAGTGTATCTTCCAGAAAAATACCTCGCATTAGGCCCATTTCATAATCACAGGGGATTGGAAAATTTCTACTTAAACCCAATATTTTGGAATACATGTGCGTGCCTTTTAGGAACACTGACTCTGAGTGGAAGGTAGAATCAAGTTGTTCCTGAGTTCTGTTGGGTTTTTTTTTTTTTTTTTTTTTTTTTTTTACTTTTTCCATTGTTCAGAAATGCTTCTTATTCTCTCCTTTCATGCTGTTTTTCTTTCCACATCACCTGACTCCCACTCGATTTCTTTTCCTTTCTCACTTCAAAGGTTTCCTAATTGAAATGTGCCGAAGCAATTGAAATGTGGTACCTCAGTGAATTACTGTCAGACACCGTAACCTTTCGACCAGCTAGAATCTTGTCGTGAGAGGAGACCGTGTACGTTGGTGAAAGTTTAGAAAAAAGAATCGTAAGTAATTTCACACTGGTAAAGTTCTATAGGATAAGAAGATAATTTTTAAAAAATTAAAAAATTATCCATTGACGACTTAATTTACCTTTTGTATTTGTTCTACCTATTGACAATGAATATTTGTGATATAAAATATTCTGAGCATATACGGTAAAATATATGTTGCAGGGACAGAGATTTGGAATAATGTGAAGCAATGTAGCTTTCAAGATTTAATTTTTAGAAGATGGCCTTTAAAAAGTTTCTTCCAGCATTTCTATTGACAAGATGGAGGAATCTGGGCTAGGCAGGTAGATGTGTGGCAGGTTTGTGACCAGGTGAAAACTAGATTAAGGGGGCTCACCACCAATGTTTATCCAGAGGGGGGTCGCTAGGCTGTTTTTCTTTTGACATGTTGATTAATAACTTAAATCAGGCTAGAATGGTATATTTGTCAAGTTCAAGTGTGACATGTGTTAGGGTCAGGCGTAAGGCAGGGTAAAGATAGGAGTCAGAGGCTAAAAAATTTTAGCAGTCAAAGGCTTTATTTGGGAACTAAGGTCTCGGGCGAGGTTCCGTGACTCAGGTTGAGAGAGAGAGAGGAGTCAGGGAAGTCGCCCCCAGGTGTGGTGGGGTGGGGTTTTTAAGCTGCAGCGGTTCCGGGTTTAGGTCTGGGTGGGCCTTTTTCGTGTCAGGTCGTGCTGTCCCTGGGTGATTGGTTGACCTCCAATTCGTTCTGGCACGCTGCTAGGGGCTTTTCATTGGGTTGCGCTGGCAAGATGGCCGTCCCCTCTACTGTGGTTCCAAGGACATCCTAACAACATGAATTGGGAGAAACAAAGATTATATATTGAATGACCGAATCCAAAATGAAACCGACAAGCTGGATCTTGAACTAAATCTAATGAAACCAATTTGAAGTGGCCTCTACTGTAGATTAACATGTAGCTTCACAAACCCAAGATGAGGAAACTATGGACTAACAGCACTTTCTTAAAAAACAAGCAAACAAACAACTTAATTTTGGTTAATTTCTTGATCGACATGAGCCAAAAATGTGAAAAAGTTACCCTGAGAGTTAACTGAATCATGGTTTTTGGACAGATCAGCAGAGTCCAGGCCTGCAGGAACGACCTTGGACCTCATCTCCAGAGCGGTCACTGTACTTGCAGTGAGACTCAAGTAAACGATGTTTGGTCCAAAAAGACAGTGACCTGGTGATGAATGGCAGGAAACCATGCCATTTGAGGCAGTACTGAAAGAACAAGGACGTTTAGTGAGAAAAATTAGAATTCTCAAATCTTAAAGTGTGTTTTCAAAATTTTAAACTATACGGTTTCCAGGCCCCATTCTCAGAAATTTGGATTCAGTAGTGAGGTGAGAGCCTTCACGAATCTTTTCAAACCTCTCCCAGGCAACAATCAGACAGATTAATTCTTAAAACTCAGATTCTAGGACTTCCGGACTATCTTCTAACTTCCTTTATGCTCCTAAGAATTTTCGCTTCCTGAACTGTACATGTACTTAAAAATATTCCTTATAATGGATCTCTCCTTAAATATACATAATATGTTTACTTTTTGCCAAATACCAAGTTAGATTCCAGGGGATTGCTACAGTTTCTCACACCCTGCCCTGACCCCCAAACCTCTACTCACTTGAGGAACTTTAGAAAATACCACACCCAGCAAGCAGCCCTGGAGACTGAAAATACAAGGTGGGGCCTGAGAATCTGTCATTTCCGGAAAGCTTCAATGATACATAGAATGTCACATTCAGTGAGCCCTTTCATTTGCTAAAGAACTTTGTCTTTTGTAAATGGACAGGTTTTATTTCAGGCCTTGCTTAGGTATCAACAAAGGCTAAAAGGTTAACCAACACCATTTGGTTAATGAGTTACAGTTCTTTTTTTTTTTTTTTTTTCATTTTTTTCATTTTTTTTTTTTTTTTCAACGTTTATTTATTTTGGGGACAGAGAGAGACAGAGCACGAACGGGGGAGGAGCAGAGAGAGAGGGAGACACAGAATCGGAAACAGGCTCCAGGCTCCGAGCCATCAGCCCAGAGCCCGACGCGGGGCTCGAACTCCCGGACCGCGAGATCGTGACCTGGCTGAAGTCGGACGCTTAACCGACTGCGCCACCCAGGCGCCCCTTTTTTCATTTTTTTAAATGTTTATTTTATTTTTGAGAGTTAGAGAGAGCTTGAGCGGGGGAGGGGCAGAGAGAGAGGGGGAGACACAGAATCCAAAGCAGGCTCCAGGCTCTGAGCTGTCAGCACAGAGCCCGACGCGGGGCTGGAACTCACCAACTGCAAGATCATGACCTGAGCCGAAGCTCAACCAACTGAACCACCCAGGCGGCCCAAATCAGTTCCACATTTCCATATGTGGTGGGTGTCCACCGACCCTCTACACATCTGCATGTGGCACAGAAAGGTCTGGGGGATCAGATCTATCATTTGTGCCCTTTAGTTGGTCCTCAGGATTTCACGTGTGTCAACCCCATTACTGCTGATGTGAGTTATATGCACTCAGCTAGGGAAGAGATCCTTGATAATTGTGGGATTCTGTGTTTGAAAAGCAAAGTCACATTTACTGTTTCAGACTTTTGTGAAGCCTTCCTGGCAGCCTTATTAATTTGCTCTTATTTTGGTAATCACTGTTCTTTCGTCTGAGTGGTTATTTTAAAATGGGAAAGGAACCTAAATTAGTATTTTACATCTTAAGACATACATTTGCATCCGTCATAAACTTTAATTTATACTTTGGCCAAATAATTTTAACAGTTGCTATAAAATCAGTTATTTAATAATAGTTTTTACTACCATATTGAATGCAGCAGGAGACAAGCTTAATAGCCTCGTGTCCACAACAAATTTCTAGCTATTATTCGTACATCCCACATGCCTTTGACAACTCCACGGACTAGTCAAATTCCCACTGATTGCATTATTTGAATCTTGCTAAAAACCAGTTTACCATGTGCACACAGTTTTTTAGTGACTACATCTGTTTTCCAACCTCAATTTCTTTTGCTTTCTCAGAGTTACATCATTATAAAAACTACTGTTATTTTCAATAGAATAATTTTCCATAATCATATATGTGCCCCTTAATAGGACATCTGGAATTCAATTCTAAAGCACAAAGAGGATAATGTGTGTAAATGAAATACACTTAACATTTATATTTATATTAGTAAACGTAAGAGAAGATTTCTTCAAGGGGCTTAAAATTAAAAAAGCACACTTTAGACACATGCCAGGACAGTTCAGTCAGAAATTTTACATTGGGCAATTTAAGGGAAAAAAAAGGTAAAATAAGAAAGCATAACAGTGTAACACTAACTTGATCTCTGTTTTTGGCAACTGGCTCTTTAAAATTATGTTCATTTGCTCAAAAGCATAAATACAATTTAAAGTGACTTATCCAAACCTGAGATAACTTTATCTGAATTTAAGAAACTCGAAAATTACTAAATCCAATTAAGGGACATACTCAACTTATTTAATTCGTATCTTCCAGAATACATAACACACAGTGCAGTTCTTGACATGTGGAGACAGAGTACAATATATGAGTGAATAAATGTAAGAACTTGTCAAAAAGTTAAGACTTTTTGAACTTGGATTGTAGGTTTAGCTGACACACTTTTTTTTTTCATTGATACAATGACCCTTTATTTTTTAATTTATTTAATTCAATACGTACTGATTGAATACTCATTATAGGTGTTTAAGATACAGCAGAGATTTACTGTTTTTCCTAGGATTATTCATTAATTGGTTAATTAATATTGACGTGTAGTTGACACACAATGCTACATTAGCTTCAAGTGCACAACACAGTGACCCAACAACTCTACATGTCATTCCATGCCCACCACAAGTGTCACCATCGTCCGCCCTCAATTTATTATATTTCCTAGGCTGTACTTTTCATCTCCACAACTTATTTATTTTATTACTGGAAGTTTGTGTCTCTTAGTCCCCTTTTCCTGTTTTACCCATCCCCTCCCCCACCATGCCTGCCCCTCTGGCAACCACCAGTTTGTTCTCTGTATTTATGAGTCTGTTTCTCTTTGTTCATTTTTTAGATTCCACATATAAGTGAAATCATATGCTCTTTGTCCTTCTCTGTCTGACTTATTTCACTTAGCATAATACCCTCTAGGTTCTTCATGTTGTCCCAAATGAGAAGCTCTCATTTTTTTTTTTTTTTTTTTTTATGGCTGAGTAATATCCCATAGTGTATATATACAGCACATCTTCTTTATCTACTCTGCTGTCAGTGGATACTTGTGTTGCTTCCATATCTTGGCTATTTTAAAAAATGCTGCAGTAAACATAAGGGTGTATATATCTTTTTTTTTTTTAAATGTTTTTATTTATTTTTGAGACAGAGAGAGACAGAGCATGAGCAGGGGAGGGGCAGAGAGAGAGGGAGACACAGAATCCGAAGCAGGCTCCAGGCTCTGAGCTGTCAGCACAGAGCCCGACGCGGGGCTCGAACTCACAGACCATGAGATCATGACCTGAGCTGAAGTTGGACGCTCAACCGACTTAGCCACCCAGGCGCCCCTATATCTTTTTGAGTTAGAGTTTTCATTTTCTTCGGATAAACACCCAATAGTGGAAATACTGGATTATATGGTATTTCCGTTTTTAATTTTTTGAGGAATCTCCATACTGTTTTTTCACAGTGGCTGTATTAATCTACATTCCCACCAATGGTGCCTGAGGGTTCCTTTTTCTCCACATCCTCTCCAACACTTGTTATTTCTTGTCTTTTTGATTCCAGCCATTCTGACAGGTGTAAGGTGATATCTCATTGTGGTTTCGATCTGCATTTCTCTGATGACTAGTGATATTGAGCATCTTTTCATGTATCTTTTGACATTTGTATATCTTCTTTGGAAAAAAAGTCTATTCAGATCCTCTACCCATTTTCAACCAGATTATTAGTGTTTTTTTTGGTGTTATTTATATATTTTGGATACTAACCCCTTATCAGATACATCATTTACAAATATCTTCTCCCATTCAGTAGGTTACCTTTTTATTTTGTTAATCGTTTCCTTTGTTGTGCTTTTTATTTTGGTATAGTCCCACTAGTTTCTCTTTGTCTTTGTTTCCCTTGCCTGAAATGACATATCAGAAACATGTTGCTAAGGCCAATGTCAAGCTGGCATCAATTCTTGACAAATGAAATACTTTTCAATCTTTGAAAATTTGCCATGCCTCAAAATAGTGCGTGGAAACAAATGAAGACCAACCAAATGAGAATAAAGCGTATTTATTAAGATCTTGCTGTAGCAAGAGTGGCAGGTACCATCACTTGTGTTTGCCCAGGACGCAAAGGTGGGTAGAGGACAGGGAAAGCTTTATGGTGGGAAGAAGACATGGCTTCAGGTTTGCCCTGCTTGGAGAATCATGGCATGGGGGAGCCATAAGCAGACTAACTAGAAGAGAGGCATCCTTTGTGATTGGTTAGGAGTGCGAATTTGGCTTTCACTGGTTGGTCCTAGTTGGAAGCAGGAATAAAAACTAGAACAGCTGTCAGTTATTAATCAAGTTCTGGCCATTTGGAGCCTGATTTTCTACAAGGCTGAATTATAGCAGGTTGGCTCCCTGGGCTGGTTACTGTAGGTCATGGGTTGGTTTCCTAGACTGGCTGCTACAGGTTGTGGGTCAGAGTTCTGCTTTTATATTTGGTCTGGCCACTGCCCATTTGTAAATTCAGTGTCTCAAATGCTTAGAAATGGGGCAAATTGTATATTCCAATGAACAAGAACAAATTAGGGTTGAGAAACTATAATGTTTTCCCCTACAACAAAAATATAGTTTGGCAATTTAGCTGACTTTAAGGAATTGAGTTTATAGTTGTGTTATAGTTCCATATGCACAAAATCTGTAATGATGAGCACATTATGACAACACACACACACACACACACACACACACACACTTCCTATTCTTAGGGGCAATTGCGTTCAACTCTTGGCCATTTCTTTTGATATTGATCTTCACATATCTAAATACCATGTTTCCATACTGCTAATTTAAGACTTTGCTATTGATTGTCCACCTTGGAAGATAAACATTCAGCTCTCTGTCATCATTACCTCTCACAACCACCACCCCTTTACCCCTACACGGTGGAACCACTACACTTCTGTGCTCCCATTCTCTCAACACACTTATGTCCTCATTTTGGTCAGATAAGTGTTTATTGTTCTGATCAGCTAATTTCTATCGCTAGTTTATTCCAAACCCTACTTACCAATATCTAAATCTCCTCTCAGTATGTTTAAACACATTATTCTATTAATTTTATCTTCTTGGAGACACCTCTTACGGACCTGCTGACTCCATCCAGTCTTCCTTGGTCTTCCTCACAGCTGTCATCCTGAGATCTCCCTACGTTATAGTCCTGAGAATTCTCTTTCTTGTGTTGAATCTCGTGTATCTCAAATGCTATGCCCTTTTGATGCTGGGTTTGCTGTCAGTAGTTTCCTTAGAAGGAGTTTATTGTTCTGAAACTTTGCATATTTGAACAAGTTTTAATTTCACCCTCACACTTCATTGTAGTATGGCCAGGAACGCAATTCCAGACAGGAAATAATTCCCTTGCAGAATTTTGACAGCTTTGTTCTATTGTTTTCTAGCCTTTTGAGTGCTTACTGAGAGGTTGAAGTCATTCTGTTTCACAATCCATTTCCTGAAGCCATTTTTTCCTTCTCTGGAAGCTTGTGGTATCTGTTCTTTGTCTCACCGGTCTGGAATCGCACCACCATGTGCCTTGGTCTAGGTCTATTTTCCTCCATTATGCTTGGCACTCAAAGGGCTCTTTGAATCTGGAGAGCTGTGTCCTTCATTTCTGAGAAACTTTCTGGCTTTATTTGCCGAGGATTTCTTTCCCACAGTTTTCTCTTTTCTTTCCCTTTGGAACTTCATTTTCTGGATGATAAATGTTCCTCACCTAATACATTTCCTTTATTTCATCTCTTTGTCTTTCTGTCGTTCTTCCATAGGAATTAAATCTGTTCTCCTTTCACAAGTGAGTTCATCAGCTTTATTTCCCATCCTTCTTATTGAATCTTTAATTTCGGCTATTGTAGTTTTAATTTCCAGGAATTCATTTTTGTTCTCTGGATATTCCTTTTATACGGTAGCATCCTGTTCTTATTTGAAAGAGGCTCTATCTCATTGCTCTAAGAATGTTAGCAGTAGCTTCTTTTTAAGTTTTTATGTCTTTCTCCAATAACTGGTGTTGGTGTTTTCTGTTTATTATTCTTTTCGGTTAATATAATGTTTCATATTAGAGATTTTCCTCAGCTTTCTGGTAGTCTCTGGTTCTCTGCTCATATTTAAAAGCGGGCATTCGATTCACTGCTTTGTGGGCCTTTAGCTGCAGTGGGGGTGGGGGGTGGGGGGGTAGTCTCAGCCTTGTAACAAATGTGCTCCTTTGTTGTGTGGTGGAAAGCCTTCCCCCTACCCCCTTTCATCACGAAACCCGAAAACGGCTCTGCAGCACCATCTGGATGACTTGGCCAAACTAAATCTCCCATCCAAGTACTAACCAGGCCCGACCCTGCTTAGCTTCCGAGATCAGACGAGATCGGGCGCGTTCAGGGTGCTATGGCCGTAGACTGGCCAAACTAAATCTCATGAATCTTCCTCACCTTTTTTTTTTTTTAACTTTAATATTTAAATAAATTTTAGTTATTTTCAGCAAAAAAAAAAAAAAAAAAAAAAAAAAAAAGTGGGGCATTTGATTCCCCCTTAATGCCTCTGGGAAAGGATTTTTAACATCAGTACATGTGCTGTGGGTCCTGGGGTGGCCTCACAGCCCTCCGCTCAGCAACAGGGTCTTGCTAATTGGGTTGTCACTGGATGAAAGTGCTTGGGACTTAAAAGTTATTATCCCCTGGCTTTGCCCAACCTCAGTGACTTACTTGTAAGACTGACAGTGAAATGAACCGCATAAATCCTGGGGGAAAAATAAATAAATAAAAGTGGGGCATTATTTTAGGATTGCAAACTGTACCTCAGTAGAGCTCTAAACTGGCAAAAGAAAAAGAAGGGGGGTTATGAAGCTGACAGGAAGTTCCAAGAATGCGGGTGAAGCTTGTCACCTTTAGTTAGCTACTGTATGGTTTCATTGTGGGAACCCCGAAGTCAGAATAACCCCAGGAATTATCTCTTGGTCTGGTCAGAGTCCTCAAAGAATCTTCCCACCTTCTATCTGGAGAGTAAAAGCCTCGTTGTCCATGTTCTGGAAGCTGAATGGGAAAAATGGGTTTCGAAATTCATGCCCTACACTGCCGCATAAGCTCTGTCTTCAACATGGTAATTCCCACCCTTAGCTGTACCTGATGTCCCCAAGCAGTGCAGACACTGACTGTCATGACTTTGCCAGAGCATTAACCTCTAGCCTTTAGCCAGAGCAGATCAGCTGGCTACGTGAGGAAAGGATGACGTGGGTAGGTGGCTGTCAGCTCCATTTAAACCAACTTAACCAATCCTTCTGTTTGCAGCCCACTTTACCCCACTTCTTGAAGCCATTGGGTCTTTAGTGGTACAGATTGGGGTTGGTTCTTGGGTTTCTCAAATGCCAGCTTACAATTTGTTTTCCCTTGTCCTGCTGGCTAAGTTGCCGGCCTTCTTCCTGCTTCCCAACTTTCAAAATTTAGTTGCCATTGCTTGTTCTCCCATTTATTGTCTTTGTGGCTTAATCCCATTTTCTTTCCCTTTTGCCTATGTCTATTATGATTATCATTATTTGGGGCTTCGGGAAGAGGCAAAAGTAAAAGTGTGAGTTTGATATAACAGCTTTGACCCAAAGCACTGATAAATTTGTTGGCCTTTCTGCTCTCAATATGTTTTCCTATAAAAAGGAAATGAGATACAGGCTCGTGATACCATTTATAAGATACAATAATTTTCATCTGTATACCTCTTTACACCATATAAAGTTTTCACATGAATCTCACTTCATTCGCCTGATACTTTCATGAGTCAGTTAAGGCAGATATTGTTGGTCCTTTTATCTAAATGGAAACCTAGGATTGGGGCTCCTGGGTGGCTCAGTCGGTTGATTCGGCTTGATTCTGGCTCAGGTCATGACGTCGTGGTTTGTGGGATCGAACCCCACATTGGGCTCTGTGCTGACTGTGTGGAGACTGCTTGGGATTTTCTCTCTCTCTCCCCCCTTTCCCCCCTCCACCTCTCTGCCCCTCCCCTTACTCACACTCTCTCTGTTTCTCTCTCAAAATAAAAATAAACATTAAAAAAAAAAAAACCCAGAAACCTCGGATGGTGGAGGTGCACGTGCCCAGCGGTCACCCTGCCAGCAAGGGGTGGCATTAGATGCAGAGCTTCTGTGTGCCACAGGGCCTAATGGAGCTGTTTGAATGAACAGAGGACAGGGAGAGCAAGGGAGCACCAGAGTTATTCTGGAAGCTGAAAATGTCCACATAATTTGACAAAAATGACAGTATTTGACAAGAATAAGAGATCCCAGCTTCTTTCAAGCCGACAGTTTAAAAAATTCCAGGTAAATCGATGGTTAGGGAAACAGAATGAAACCTGGAAATTAGTCAAGATTTCAAGACACCCAATTGGATTCCCTGGTGAGGATGCATATGACATAAGCCGTTATCTACGCACAAAGCCTTATTTCTTAAGGTTAAATACTGATTTCCTTATCTTAGTTGTCCTCTGGGAATCTTAGTACCTTCATGACCATTCTTCTATATTAAAGTAGCACCGAAACCTAAAGTGAACAGACAACATCAACTAGGATCTCTCTTTTCTGCTGAGGAAAAAAATACAGGTAACTTTGGAATCTATCATCCTTTGTCGCTTTCTAATTCTGTTATTTTTTATCTTCAGCCCCTTATTCAATCAACTAACAAAGACCCATGGAGTACCCCAGTGGGGGCCCCAAAGAAGACGCAAAGAAGAAAAACACAATCTTTGCCCTGAAGGAGTCGTCATCTTTTGAGGAAACAAAACATCATGTCATAGTTATACTGTAGTGAGCTCAAGCTCTCAAACCCAATAAAATATGGGATATTCACATCCTGTCAAAATTTGTTATTCAAAACAATTCATTCATTCATTCATTCATTCACTCCCTCAACAAAATTGAAGTACTTTCCTGGGTAGCTACTCAGTGACTATGGCTGACCCACTTAGATTAGTGCCATGTTAAATTTGGGGCGTCTCTGCTCTCAGAGCAGAGCTGTGGCAGGAAGGGGTTGGCTCTCCACCTCCTGTTCTCTTTGACATGAATTTTCACAGTATATCTTCCTCCTCTCTGAGGTGACACCATTCTGCCCTCTTAGTAGGGTTTGTAGTGGTGTGGCAAGGAGAAAAGGCAAGGAGAAAACTCTGCTTATTGGGAGTATAAAGAATATCATCCCTCTAACCTTGCCAAATGAATGAAGCATTTTGAAGGAAACAACGTGCTACGTAAAAAGATAAGAGGAGAGACCTGTATTTATTGGGGTGGTTAGAGAATTGTTTTCCACAGAGAAGGCGGTAACTGGAACCTGAAGGCTCAGGTAAAACCAACCATATAAATGTACGGTTCCCAGGCAGAAAGAACCATAAAATAATAGCAAAGGAATAGTATAAGTCATGTCCTTGAAGTTGTTAATTAGGATAGATGTGCAGGTGGGGCATGAGCTGGGACTTTTGGGTGGTATTAGGGGTCAGTCCACTCAACAACCATTCCCAAACATTCTACCCTGCCTTCCTCCACCAAAAAGCCTGGAAAACTCAAAGCTAAAATTCCCAGCCACCATGGAAGTGAGGGCTGGCCATATAACACCATTTTTACTGACAGGCTATAGGAGGAAGTCATTTAGGGGGCCCGCCCTTCCCAAATAAAATCCAAAAGTCCACAAGAAGAAGTCATCTGATCTGGCGCCTTTCCTTTCTTTCTGCCTGGAATGCAGAGGGGGCCACTTATGTTTTGCAAGGCTGAGAATGAGCAGTAAAGACAGGAGGAATCTGGGTCCTCGATGGCATGGTGATGTGGCTGTACCACCGGAGCTGTCTACCCCCATGTGAGAAACTATAAAATGGCAACTTATTTTATTAGCATTTTCTAAGAGGTTGACTTGAATTTATAGTTAATCCTCTTAAGAGCTTAAAAAAGTGAGCACCATTGTTATTCCAGCTTTCAGATGAGCACACTGAACCATAGAAAGGTTGAAAAATGTACCCAAGATACTCAGTGAGTGCAGAAGTTGGACTGGACCTCAGGCAGTGTGCTACTCAAACCTCTACCTTTAGCCATTGTTCTATATGCCAGTGTTGGCTGGGTTCTCTGTTACCTACCGATGATTGCAATCCTGACTCTATTTATTATCTTTGAGGAAGAGATGACACTTAGACGGAAGCTTTTAGATCATCATATAAACAAAGATGGGTACAGCAGCCAAAGAATGGCAAGTTAGACAACAGTTTGATGATGAATTTATTTATTTATTTATTTATTTATTTATTTATTTATTTTTGATAATGAATTTATGGTAGGAAAAGAGACACAGATGAAGACGGAAATGCAACAGAGTGGTCAGGAAAAGGACCTCAGGAAATCAGAATATTTGCCTACAAATCGCAGCACTGCTAGTTAGTAGCTGAACAACCGTGGTCTACTTGTATTGTCTTATCTGCGTGAGATCTAAGTCATTCTATGTTTAAAAAATTTTTTTAAAAACATTTTTTATTTATTTTTGAGAGACGGAGACCGAGTGCCAGCAGGGATGGGGTAGAGCGCGAGGGAGACACAGAATCTGAAGCAGCTTCAGGCTCTGAGCTATTTTTAGCACCGAGCCCAATGTGGGCTTGAACTCATGAACCTCGAGATCATGACCTGAGCAGAAGTTGGATGGATGTTTAACAGACTGAGTCACCCAGGTGCCCCTAAGTCGTTCTATTAAAAAAAAAATTTTTTTTAAATATTTATTTTTGAGAGACAGAGTGAGAAGGGGAGGAGCAGAGAGAGAGGGAGACAGAGAATCTGAAGCAGGCTCCACGCTCTGAGCTGTCAGCACCGAGCCAGTCGTGAGCTCAAAGTCACGAACTCCAAGATCATGACCTGAGCTGAGGTTGGACACTCAACTGACTGAGCCACCCAGGCACCCCTAATCATTCCATTTCTAATGCTCAGCTTCCTCATCTCTACAACGGGCATAACAAACATACATGGGTTTCAGAGTTTCGATGCCCTGGCAAAATACTTTTTTCATAGTAAGCCTCCAGTAAATGTTAGCCCCCAAATCACACTGAAATAAGTTTGAATGTTTTCCTCTAAGGCTTGTCTCAACTTGACAGTAATGACTGTCTAGAAATCTTCAATTCAAATGCAACATTTGGAAACTTTAAAATATCTAAGATGAAGAGAAAGAAAAGATGATCTTTTCTTTGATGTTCGCAGTGAAATGTTTTTTTCATATTCTACGGGAAACTCAGCCTTGTTACAGATCACAGGGCCTAGGACTCCATTGTTGCAATAATTTAATCTGAGGTAGGACTGACAACGTAGCGTAACATTTCTTAATAGTATTAGTCAAGCAGAGCTTTAAGGAACATACCTATTGACTTCAAAGGATTTGTTTTAAAGAAAGCGAAATAAAAAGGAAATAAGAATCCACGGGGACAGGACACAGGACCATGATTGCCATCCCAAGTTTTGGAAAATCTCACTAGCCTCCAAACTGTGTTCTGAGAAAAACAGTTGTTTAATACGAAGGCACAAGGACTAATATAACACATTAGTTCAAAGCCTCTGGGGGAAAAAAAAGAGGGACACAAAGACAGTCACTCTCTCCTTTAACGAACCCCCACGTGGAAAGTAGCTGCTGCGGGTGAGCTGGTGCCTGTGCCTTTGAACTGACCGTGATTCAGACAGCAAAGTGTCATTTCACGCTCTCTGAGTGAGCTAGCAGACCTCTGAAACTTCTCAGCTCCGAGAAGAGATTACAGAAAGCATTTTCTTCCAGGACTTCTTGACTTACACATAAGAAGTAGAGTGACTGTCGAGTGACCACCAGGGGACTGCGATGAAATCTTTGCAGATCAGTTTCCTTCTTTGTCTTTTTCCATATCTAAGGAACCAGCCTGACAACCACCCCTGATGTGTGGGTGGGAGGGTGGTTACTGTGTTTGTAATGTTGTCTGTGCCGCTGGTCTGTAGAGCCCAGCTACCAGACAGGAAAAAGCCAGTGGCTGGCTCCCTTATCCCGGAGGGAGGGGCAGGACTGACAGGCTATTCTGGTCAGAGGAGTGCTTCGTGGGCAGACAGTTGTCTCTCCTCAAGCAGGATGCAGGAGCGGAAGGAAAGGGTACCGCATGACCTGTTTCCCCAGAGTGTGCCTCAGGGTAAAGTAGCCCTAGTGTCCTGCCCGCACAGGGCAGGAAAGTCGCCCTGAGCTGTGTCCCACACCGTATACAAAACAACCCGCAGAGGCCACAGAGACCAGACTGTCCCAGGGATTCCCCAGCGGGCCCCTTCCTGTATCTGCTATTCCTGGGACCTCCAGGTTGGCCCTGGCTGTAAAAATGCTATCTTCTAGAACATTGAGACGGCCATGGAGGGTCCACCTCGCTACGGACCCCATGACGAAGGAGGGAGGAGTTTGTCAAGAACATCAACCTGCCGACCTCTTTGACATAAAATAGCAAAAAGGTAAACGTTCCAATCAGAAATAGGTTAAAAAAAATATGACTTATTTGCAAATCGTGAACTTTTGGCCTCAGATGGTAAAACAGAGTAGAAGGGCTACCAACGAGACTTGAAGCCCAGTCACGGAGGGCCCCGTTTATAAAGGATGTTTGTGCACACTGACATTTACTCCCTTACAGTGCAGTAGGGTAGTCAGGACAGAAACTGTTCTCATTTTGCGGATAAGCACACAGGAAGGGCCTGCCATGATACACGGAGTAGTTTTATTGCACATAGTCAGCTCTTGGATCTATCAGCTAGGAAGCTCAAAGAAGACTCTGATAAGCAGGGACAGGAATATCTGTTGAAGGTCTTCCCAGCTAACTGGTCTCTGGGCCTGGTTAGATGCTTCTACCCTATCTCCACCTGCACAGAACCCCAGCATAGAACTCCCTGCCTACTAGACTCTCTTTAGTTTTTGATCTTAAAAGTCAGTGGTTATTAACAACATCTTATATGTCACTAATAAGGCAGCAGGGACTGTATTAAACACTTCACATTATTATACCATTGAATTCTTATAACTCTGCGAAATGGGCACAATTATTATCTTCATTTTACCGATAAGGAAGCAGAAACAGAGAGGCTAAATGACTTGCTCAATGTCACACAGACTAACAGTGTGAGGGTTAAGATTTTTAAAAAGAATAAGCAAATGTACTGCCCTAGTATCAACATTTCAGGAGATTAATTTATATTCCGAGGGTATTGTGGGCAAAGCAAAGAATGAAAACCTATTACTTCTCTCCTTTTAATTAGGCCATGAGAAGGAATTCCTGGGGCATCTAAAAATTCATCCTAGTGATTTAAGCCTTTATACAAAAGTGGCTTTGAACTATGCTTTGGATGAGCTTTGCCTTTTGTCAGTGACAGGTTCTGACCTCAGGTGGGATATAAACAGCTACAAAAAAGGGCACCTGCCCTCGTTCTTTTTTCTTCTGTTCAGGTGAGAACAGGGCTTCACTGGTGAAAGTTTAAATGACCTGGTTTCTTCTGACCCCTGCGAAAAACTAGTGATTTTCATCCTATTCTCTCCAGTTTCGGGTACAGCAGCAACCCCCCCGGCCCCTTATCTTCTGGGAATGGGAATATCTTCCAAGAACCCCCCAGTGCATGCCTGAAGCCACAGTTGGTCCTGATCCCTACGTATACCATGTTTTTTTTCTCTATGTATACATACCTATGTTAAAAATTCCATTTATAGGGGTGCCTGGGTGGTTCAGCCAGTTGGGCTTCTGACTCTTGGTTTCAGCTCAGGTCATGATCTCATGGTTTTGTGGGTTCGAACTCTGCGTCAGGCTGTGCGCTGGCAGCATGGAGCCTTTGGATTCTCTCCTTCTCTG